TACAAATTGTTACAAGTTCGCAAGTTACAAAATAGTAACTATATATCATGGAGAAACCAGACAACATCATTAGCAAGTTCGACCTTGATTAAATTAACATCACCAGTAAGGAGCAGGTAGACATTGTAGGGCTTGGGTTGGGCTTTCCCTTAAAAGAACACAACACAATTTATGTCGTATTTCAGGTCAGATGCATAACTTAAACCCGGTCATGAGCAAACATCAGGAAAACACAAACTGATGAACATTCTATACAATAGCTGGCCCGTATTTTTTTTTTTTAATGTCAGTGTCATTAATGACAAAGAAAGGCTGAGGAAGTATTTGAGATCAAAGGAGACAAACAGCAATGACAACAAAATGCAATCCATGCTGGGGAACTGGGCCTTGTGCTGGAGGGGGAAGTGCTACCAAGGGTTATTGGGACAGTTGACAATGGTGGAATATGAACTTTATAATGTCAATGTTAAACTTCCTGTATTTGATCATTGTACCATAATATATATTTTGTTAATTTTAGAGACAGGGTCTTGGCTCTGTTGCCCAGGATGGAGTGCAGTGGCTCAATCATAGCTCACTGCAGCTTCAAACTCCTAGGCTCAAGCAATCCTCCCACCTCAGCCTCCCGAGTAGCTGGGACTATAGGAGCATGCCACCATGCTGGGCTAACTTATTTTTTATGTTTTTATAGAAATAGGGTATTGCTGTGTTGTCCAGGCTGATTTTGAACTCCTGGAGTCAAGGGATACTCCCACCTCAGCCTCTCAAAGCGCTGGGATTGCAAGTGTGAGCCACCTTGCCTAGCCTGTACCATGATTTTTGTTTGTTTGTTTGTTTGTTTGTTTTTTCTGAGACAGAGTCTCACTCTGTCGCCCAGGCTGGAGTGCAGTGGCGTGATCTCGGCTCACTGCAACCTCCACCTCCAGGGTTTAAGGGATTCTCCTGCCTCAGCCTCCCAAGTACCTGGGATTACAGGCATATGCCACTACATCCGGCTAAACCTGTACCATGATTATTTAAGAGAGTATTCTTGCTATTGAGAAATAGGCATTATAGTATTAAGAGATAAAGGGTCATAATATATGCACTGACTCTCAAATGATTCAGAAAAAAATGAGTATAATGCATTTAGAGAGAGAATGACAAAGCAAATTTGTCAAAATGTGAGAAATGGATAAATCTGGGTAGAGTATATGGCAGCTATCTATAACTAAGAATAATTACAAGAATGCAACTTTTCTATAAGTTTGAAATTATTTCAAAATAAAAAGATGTTGACTATAGTCCTCTGCCGTACTAGCTGAGCTATTGAAGGATGCTATAAAAAAGGTTTTTAAAAGGCACATAAACAGAAGAGAAAGAGCCAAATGAGGACTAGGGTGTATAAGGACAGTTCCAAGTGTCCAGTCAAATTCTGACTTTAGCTTGTTCTCTTTTACCTACTTTTTTTTTTTTTTTTTCTTGACAGAGTTTCGCGCTTGTTACCCAGACTGGGTTGCAATGGTGCGATCTTGGTTCACCACAACCTCCACCTCCCAGGTTCAAGTGATTCTCCTACCTCAGCCTCCTGAGTAGCTGAGATTTATCTACTTTCTTAAAAGGGCTCTTACTCTCAACCTCAGAGAGCTGCTATGACATCATAGGTACCCTACCCAGCTTCTTACCTTCCTAGGTCCTGGCCTTCCACCCTGTGAAGGGCACCATCTTCCTTCCCCAGGCAAGGGGAGGCTGGTCCCTAGGTGCTAGAGACTAGGATACTTTGATGCCTTTGCTCTTACCGAAACCAAAATCAAAACCAAACGACAACAAAAAATAATTCTAACATTGCAACCCACTCAGGCGTTTCCAATGCCTTTATTTTCCTATTTGAGGGAAATATCATTTCCCCAGACCAAGGGCAAGATGGGTGACTAAACCTGGGAATGGCCTCAACCTTCCTGCAAGCAGTAGATCCACAGCACATGGTTAATAATTTATGCTATTAAGGTTAGGCTACTAAGGCTATTAAGGTGTACAGTCCTAACGGACACACCTATGAATTAGATACACCTGTCAACAGAAGCCGGTCAGATCCATAGTTAAGAACCAGAGCAAGGGCTGGGCGCGGTGGCTCAAGCCTGTAATCCCAGCACTTTGGGAGGCCGAGGCGGGTGGATCACGAGGTCAGGAGATCGAGACTATCCCGGCTAACATGGTGAAACCCCGTCTCTACTAAAAATACAAAAAACTAGCTGGGCGTGGTGGCGGGCGCCTGTAGTCCCAGCTACTTGGGAGGCTGAGGCGGGAGAATGGCGTGAACCCGGGAGGCGGAGCTTGCAGTGAGCCGAAATCGCGCCACTGCACTCCAGCCTGGGAGACACAGCGAGACTCCGTCTCAAAAAAAAAAAAAAAAAAAAAAAAGAACCAGAGCAAGATGGTCTGAGTTTAGTTTCTGACTCCACCACTTACAAGTTGTGTGAACGGTTGGGTGCAGCAGCTCTGCCGGGAATCCTGGTCCTTGGAACGTTGAGGCTGGAGGGTTGCTTTGAGCCCAGGAGTTTGAGACCAGCCTGGGCAACATAGCCAGACCCTGTCTCAATTTTATTTTATTTTTTAAAAAGTTGTATGACTGAGAGCAAACCAGCTAGTTTCCGTAGCTCATGAACCATTCACTCAACAAAGTAACCACCTCGTAAGCACCAGGCAGTATTTTGGGAGGCAGCAAAATGTAAGCTCTCTGCTCTCAGAGCTTACATTCCAGTTAGATGAGACAGAAACTTTAAAAATAAATAATTAAAATATAGAGTGTAACTTTATTGAATCCAGAGAGTCTGAGGCTGAATTTTGGGAAAGGAGAAAAGAAACATCAGTTTTATAAAGTTGAAAGAAAAAAAAAAAAAAACACCACAAATGATTAACTGATTTTATGTTCTGTTCTTCTGGCCTTCTCTTTAAAATATTTCTCAAATGGAGATGATTCAAGGAATTTGAAGATTTTATTTTTGTTTTTGCTTTCTGGCTTTGCTTTGAGTCAAAAATAAGGCTTTTTTTTCCTACATTTGAGACATTTTGCAGATACACAGAATCCTTTAAGAGTAGAGTTTGGAGTTTACATTGAAGGTGTCAAAAATTCTACTATTAGAGGAAATTAAAATACCATTCATAATGAGAATAACAACTTTATAGGGGAATTACTAGCAATTTATGAAAGGCTTTTCTTCTCCAAATGGTCAAAAGAATTGCGTCGGAGATTTGGATGTTCTTTTGCTATGGTTCGTACAGTCTGTATTTGCTCTTCAAATAACTTTGGATGACTTTTACATGGCCACATTACTGTTTCCATAAATGATATTTTTAGGAATTGGAAATAACAAAAAGTTCTGGTAGACTTGCCACTTGTCCTTAATAACTTGTGTAGCTAAATGTCTCTTTCCCAAAAAGTGATTGAGAAACAGTATCAGCTAGGATTTTAAATGTTAAATGGATGGGCTGGGTACAGTGGCTCATGCCTGTAATCCCAGCACTTTGGGAAGCCGAGGCGGATGGATCACTTGAGGTCATGAGTTCGAGACTAGCCTGGCCAATATGGTGAAACCCCATTTCTACTAAAAATACAAAAATTAGCCAGGCATGGTAGCATGCACCTGTAATCCCAGCTACTCAGTAGGCTGAGGCCAGAGAATCACTTGAACCCGGGAGGCGGAGGTTGCAGTGAGCAGAGATCATGCCATTGTACTCCAGCTTGGGCAACAAGAGTGAAACTCCGTCTCAAAAAAAAAAAAAAAAGTTGGCTGGGCTTGGTGGCTGACGCCTGTAATCCCAGCACTTTGGGAGGCCGAGGTAGGTGGATCACAAGGTCAGGAGATCGAGACCATCCTGGCTAACACGGTGAAACCCCATCTCTACTAAAAATACAAAAACTTAGCCAGGCGTGGCGGCAGGCACCTGTAGTCCCAGCTACTTGGGAGGCTAAGGCAGGAGAATGGCATGAACCTGGGAGGCGGAGCTTGCAGTGAGTAGAGATTGCGCCACTGCACTCCAGCCTGGGTGACAGAGCGAGACTCTGTCCCCCGCCCAAAAAAAAACGTTAAATGGATGTTTTTATGTAAGACAGTAAGAAAACCACAGGACATGCAGTGGTTTGGTTGCTGGTTAGTTGTCATTATCGTTAACTTTTCTATTGTTTAAATTTCAGAAGAAAAATCTTTGTGTGCATATTAAGATTTTTCGAGATTGATAATTACATAAGGCTCTGATCTCAAGATCCAATCCGTGTCCATTTTGTTTCAATGTCACTAAAGTAAAATTGATTATAGGGTGATTCTGCTTTTTCTCTCCCATTAAAGGTTTTCAGGGGAAAAAAAATTGTTCCTCTCTTACCATCTTTTTATTTCACTTTTTTGAGACAAATTCTCACGCTGTTACTCAGGCTGGAGTGCTGATGCAATCACAGCTCACTGCAGCCTCAACCTCCTGGGCCCAAGCAATTTTACCACCTCCTCTGAAACAGCTGAGACCACAGGTGTACACCATCATGTCTGGCTAATTAAAAAAAAAATTTTTTTTTAGAGATGGGTCTTGCTATGTTGCCCAGGCTGGTCTTGAACTCCCGGGCTCAAGCGATTCTCCCACCTCAGCCTCACAAAGTGCTAGGATTATAGGCCTGAGCCACCATACCCGGCCATATCTTGTTTAAAAAAAAAAAATAAAGTTCTCCATTATTTGATTGAATGTTTTGTTGTGCTTCGTTTTTTGAGTCTTGCTCTGTTGCCCAGGCTACGGTGCAATGGCGTGATCTCAGCTCACTGTAACCTCCATTTCCTGGGTTCAAGCAATTCTCCCACCTCAGCCTTCCAAGTAGCTGGGATTACAGGCACCCGCCATCATGCCTGGCTAATTTCTGTATTTTTAGTAGAGACGGGATTTCATGCCTCAGCCTCCCAAAGTGCTGGGATTACAGACGTGAGCCACCGTGCTTGGCTGGTTGAATGTTCATAAATTTCAAAAACATACCAAAAGAATGCACTTGAAATTTTAACTTTATTATTTTCCCATTACAAAAGTAATGCATATTGATTACATAATAAAAGGGACGGAGCTCAAAACATATAAAGGAGTCTATGCTTTTTTCTTTTGTTTTTTTAAAGGAGTCTGTTTTAAAATTGCCTATTACCCTATTCCAGGGAAAACTATTAACATTTTGCCATATTTCATTTTATCAGTCTTTTCCTATGTATTTTTGAACATAGCTCAAATATTACTGTATATAAAGTCTTATATTCAGCTTTTTCAACATAAATTACATTAAAGTTATTTTTATGTCAATAAAAATTATCTTTGTAAACATAATTTTAATGGCAAAATGACATTCCATCATACAGACATACTATAATTTATTTAAACACTCTCCTAAAATCAAATATTTAGTTAGGAGAAGGAGTTAGTAGGTCAAAGCATATAAACATTGTGCAGATCACTGTGGCCTAGAAAGGCTCTTCTTTTTTTTTTTTTTTTTTTTTTTGAGACGGAGTCTCGTTCTGTTGCCCAGCCTGGAGTGCAGGGGTGCGATCTCGGCTCACTGCAACCTCTGCCTCCTGGGTTCAAGCAATTCTGCCTCAGCCTCCCGAGTAGCTGGGATGACAGGCGCATGCCACCACGCTCAGCTAATTTTTGTGTATTTAGTAGAGACAGGGTTTCACCTTATTGGCCAGGCTGGTCTCGAACTCCTGACCTCAAGTGATCCACCCACCTCGGCCTCCCAAAATGCTGGGATTACAGGCATGAGCCACCGTGCCCGGCCTCAAAGGCTGTTCTTGAGAGCACAGGGAGGAAATGCAGCGACTCTGCGGGTGAGGGGTGGTATCAAGGCTGGCAGCAAGGAGAAGGCTCACAGGTCCTGGCCTAGTCGCTCCAGCTCGTTGAGGAGGAAGTCCATATCAGCACAGGTCAGCGCAGGGTTGGCCACAACCACACGGAAGAAGTTACCCCGGGTTCCGTGGGGCTGGTAGCCAATCATCATGGAGCCCTCCTTCACCATGCGCTCCTTGAGCACGGGGGCCACCTGTGGGAGGGTGGAGAGAGATTCCAGTTGCAGCCTGGGGTAGGCTGACAGGTAGGCTGGCTTCTTGTCCTGCCAGGCTTTCAGAGGTGCTTTTCCCTCCCACCCAGCCACCTTCTAGGGGTAGGTAGCATACATTGCTCAGACCTTGACCCTGGCCTCAGTTTACCTTTTCTGTCATATCTAACCTGCTTGGCCTTCTCTATCTTCTGCTTTTCTCCCCATTTCTCCCATCTCCAAGAAATCTGTCATGTGGGCCATTTTCTGCCAAATCCTGACTGTGTCTTGATTGCTAACACTGCTTTAGTCTAACTTCAAGCCTTGGTCATCTAAGGCTTAGTCAACACCTTCTTCTCCCCTCTCTTAATTCCTGTAATATTTTTGATAATATTAATCTGTGCCCTGTGATCTAGCAAGTAATTTACAAAATTGCCTTGAACACATTGCTTCCAAATAGTAACTCCTGTTTTATAATAACAACTCCATCAGGGCAAGAACATTTGTCCTTTCGGATCATCTGCAGCACCTAGTACTACTCTATCTTTAGGGACCAGGATATAACACAGCTCCTTGCCTCCAGGTGGCACTTCTAGACTGGCCTTCCCGGGTTGCTCTGTCCCCAGCACGGGTGATAAGGCTCTTCCATGATCTTTCTGCCTCCTATCTGTCCTGGGCCTGAGTTCCCAGCCCAATTGCCAGCACAGGGCTCTGTGTACTGCACACTGGTAACTTCTCTGACTTCTCCTGTAACACTCCTCGCTTCTTCTTACTTACCAGAAACATACCTTCCTCCCCATCCCCAACCCTACCCCTACCCAAAAGACAGCATCTGTGCCTCAGAGCAAGAGACCAGCAAGGGGACCTGCCATGCCACTCCCAGCCAGCAGGGGACAGAAGCGCATCAGGTCCCTAAGGGGAAAGCAGAGCTGCAGAGCACGCCTACCTTGGACAGCCTCTCGTGGTAATCTGGACTGTCCTGCTTCCCTCGCAGGCTGGGGGGTACGAACCAGAAACACACATTGACGAACTCAGGCTGAGAGGAATGAGAAAGAGGAAGGTGCATGCTGAGGAAGGGGGACCGTTTTCCCTCTCCCTGCCCTTTTCCCTCCACTAAGGCTTTAGTTGGGGTTAGGGAGCTGCAAAAGAGCTGGGCGGGGGCAGGTGCCACAAAAGAGAAGGGGGTCCTACCTCCATGACTAGCTCCAACCCTTCCCGCTTCTTTATTTCCTCTACCAGGTACCTGTGAACAGTGAGAAACCATAGGCGGGGAGGAAAGGCAGAGATCCAGAGACAAAAGAGGCCTACTTAGAATGAGCCACAGAGAGACCCAGAGAAAAATGATCCCGGGGAGCAGGAAAGGGGGAGGGGCAGTGACCCAGGAGAGGGGAACAGGGACGACCCCCCACACACCCCCACTCTACCCGCCTACCGGGCAAGGGCAAAGGCCTGGTCGATGCGCCGTTCCAGCCCTTGATCGCCCTGTGCCTTCCACATGAGCCACAGCTTCAGACAGTCCACACGGCGGCCACACTGCACTACCTTGTCTCCCGTGTCCAGAGCCACATCATAGAACTTGTCCTGCTGGAAAAGGTAGCTGGCCTGGGACCCATGGCAGCGCTTGAGCAGGTTCTGTGTGGGGGTGAGGAGATTGTCAGACCCTACCCTCTCCACCGAGGCTTTCCTCCAGGGCTACACTGTGGGGGTCTTAGCTCAGGATACCCTTTTCTTTCCCTGGAACCAGGCGGCACTGCTGGGATGGCTGCCTGCTGGTTCCAACCTTCTTTGGGTTTCCTCTCAGTACCCAGGGTTCTTCCTAAACTCTGATGGCAACTTCAAGCTAGAAACTCCAGGATACCTCTGACTCCAACTTCAAACTGGAAACTTTTCCCTTTGAAAACAGGACCCTGGGGGAGTGAAGGAGCCTAATACAGAATAGGGTGGTAGCAGAGATGCAGCTTCAGAAGGGATGGTAAGGAGAACAGAGAAAGGCCTGAACTTTATCTAAGGTAGGATAGAGAAGGCAGAGCTCCAGAGAGAGGTGGGGCTGGTGCAGGGGCAGGGGCAGACCCACCGAGGTATCCTGGAGAAGAAGTGCAGAGCATTGCAGGCCTGCCGCGAGGAGCTTGTGGGGATTCCAGGCCACAGAGTCAGCCCTGGATGGAGTGGAGCAAAGGCAGGTCAGTGGCTCCTCCTCCAGCTGCCCAACCAGAGCCCCTCCTCCTTTTCCAGGACCCCAGTAAAGGTGCTTTGGTCTCATCCTCACCCCGGCATCAGGAAGAATTGCCATGTCTGACCTCCCGGCTCCAATCAATCCTCTCCAGTCCCCCTCCCCTCAGCCTCCTTCCCCAGCCATGTTAAACTCCCTAGTCCATGATGATTCTCTGGACCAGTGGTTTGAAGGGTGGGATTTGGGAAGAAGGGGACTGTATGCACCTCTGGATCCCATCCAGGAGATGCCTGTGTGTCTGTGACAGCAGGACGCTCCCACCCCAGGCAGCCTGTGGAGCAGGAGGAACAACGTGGGCCTTGGCCTTAGCTCGGCCCACCCCACCGCACCCCCAAGCCCAAGTCCCACTCACATCCACATGCAGCCAGAGCCCATGACGCTGGCACACATCAGCAATTGCCTCCAGGGGGTCAAAGGCCCCTAGCACAGTGGTGCCAGAGGTGGCACTAACCAGGAACGGCACAGCACCCTGTTGCCAAAATGTAGAGGGAGAAAGATATAAAGTCATCTCAAAAGCAACTCAGAGCCTGGTGCTGGGCCCAGCTCTAAGCTCTTTGCATGCCTAAAATGGCCCATTTCAACCTCACAACAATGTGTTACTGTCCTTTTTAATGTGCAGTCAGGGACACTGAGATTCAAAGATCCAAGCAGAAGCTCCAGAGATGGACTTTGAACCTAGGTTTTTATTTCCAAAGCTCATACTCTCAAAAAATTGAATGTTTTAGTGGCAGATCCAGTGCTACTGAAAAAGGCATAGTGGCTCACACCTATAATCTCGACACTTTGGGAGGCCAAGGCAGGATTGCCTGAGGCCAGAAGTTCAAGACCAGCCTGAGCAACACAGCAAGACCCCACCTCTAAAAAAAATTTTTTTTTTAAATTAGTCAAGTGTAGTGGCACATACCTGTAGTCCCAGCTACTCAAGAGGCTGAGATGGCAGGATTGCTTCAGCCCAGAAGTTTGAGGTTACAGTGAGCTATGATTGTGCCACTGCACTCCAGCCTGGGCAACAGAATGAAACTCTGTCTCAAAAAATATAAACAAACAGGCCAGGCACAGTAGCTCAGGCCTGTAATCCCAGCACTTTGGGAGGTGGAAGCCGAGGCAGAGGCATGAGAATCGCTTGAACCCGGGAGGCAGAGGTTGCACTGAGCCAAGATCGCGCCATAGTACTCCAGCTTGGGCAAAAGATCACGATTCTGTCTTAAAATAAATAAATAGGCTGGGCGCGGTGGTTCACACCTGTAATCCCAGCACTTTGGGAGGCTGAGGCGGGTGGATCATGAGGTCAGGAGTTTAAGACCAGCATGGCCAAAATGGTGAAACCCCATCTCTACTAAAACTACAAAAATTAGCCAGGCGCAGTGGCAGGTGCCTGTAATCCCAGCTACTCAGGAGGCTGAGGCAGGAGGATCACTTGAACCTGGGCAGCAGAGGTTGCAGTGAGCCGAGACTGTGCCATTGCACTCCAGCCTGGGTAACAAAGTGAGACTCTGTCTCTAAACAAACAAACAAACAAACAAACAAACAAATAAATAAATAAATTTGAATAGTACAAAAGTTTATGCAGAAATTGAATTAGTAATTTTTAAGACTACCACAGCTTGATGTGGTAGCTCATGCCTATAATCCCAGCACTTTGGGAGGCCAAGGCAGGAGAATTGCTTGAGCCCAGGAGTTCAAGACCAGCCTGGGCAACCTAGTGAGACCTCACCTCTACAAAAGAAAAAAAAAAAAAGTCTGGGTGTGGTGGCTCACGCCTGTAATCCCAGCACTTTGGGAGGCCAAGGCAGGCGGATCACCTGAGGTCCGGAGTTCAAGACCAGCCTGACCAACAGGGAGAAACCCCGTCTCTACTAAAAAGACAAAATTAGCTGGGCGTAGTGGCACATGCCTGTAATCCCAGCTACTCGGGAGGCTGAGGCAGGAGAATCACTTGAACCCAGGAGGTGGCGGTTGTTGTGAGCTGAGATTGCGCCACTCCAGCCTGGGCAACAAGAGTGAAACTCCATCTCAAAAAGAAAAAGAAAAAAAATAGGTGTATAGTGGTGCACTCCTATAGTCCCAGCTACCTGGGAGGCTGAGGTGGGAGGATCACTTAAGCCCAGGTGGTCAAGGCTGCAGTGAGCCCTGATCGTGCCACTGCACTCCAGTCTCAGCAACAGAGCAAGACCCTGTCTCAATTTTTTTTAAGTTAAAAAGAAAAGAAACACCCAGGTCCAGATGGCTTTGCTGATAAATTCCATCGAACATTTAACAAAAATTGGTAACAGATCACACACTCTTCCAAAAGACAGAATATACAAAAATCAATTGTATCTCTATACACATTAGCAATGAACAATCTAAAAATGAAATTAAGAAAACAATTTCATTTACAAAAACACCAAAAAGAATAAAATACTTAAGAATCGATTTAACAATAGAAGTATAAAGCATATACTCTGAAAACTACGAAACACTGTGGAAAGAAATTAAAGACCTAAATAAATGGAAAGATATTTCATGTTGATGAATGAACACAACTCCTATCAAAATCCCAGTTGCCCTCTTTGCAGAAATGGACAAGCTGATCTTAAATTCATATGGAAATTCATGAAACCCAGACTAGCCAAAAACAATCTTGAAAAAAAGGCAAAGTTGGAGGACTCACACTTCCTGATTTCAAAACATACTACAAAGCTACAGTTGAATCAAGACAATGTAGTCTACAGGATAGACATGTAGATCAGTGGAACAGAACTGAGAACCCAGAAATAAATCCTCACATTTACAGTCAACTGATTTACAACAAGGATGCCAAGACAATTTATTGAAGAAAGAATTGTCTTTTCAACAAATGGTGCTGGAACAACTGGCTATCCACATGCAAACAATGCAGTTTGAATGCCTTTCTCATATCACACCCTCAAATTAACTCATATTGGATCATAGGCCTAAATCTCAGGGCTCAAACTATAAAACTCTTAGAAGAAAATATAGGAGTAAATCTTTGTGGGCTTGGGTTAGGTTAGATATAACACCAAAAGCAGAAGCAACCAAAGAAAAAGTAGATAAATTGGACTTCAAAATTTAAAACTTCTGTACTTCAAAGGATACTATCAAAAAAGTGAAAAGTCCAACAGCAAAGACATGGAATCAACCTAGGTGCCCACCAACAGTGGATTAGATTTTTTTAAATGTGGCATATACAAACCATGAAGTATTATGCAGCCATAAAAAAAGAATGAAATCATGTCTGTTGCAGCAACGTGGGTGCAGCTGGAGGCCAGTATCCTAAGTGAGTTAACACAGAAACAGAAAACCAAATACCACATGTTCTCGTAAGTGGGAGCTAAATACTGAGTCCACATGGACAGAAAGATGGGAATAAAAGACACTGGGGACTATAAGAAGCAGGAGAGAGGGGAGAAAAAGTTGAAAACATACCTATTGGGTACTATGCTCACTACCTGGGTGATGGGTTCAATCGTGCCTCAAACCTCAGAATCACACAATATACCCTTAGAACAAACCTGCACATGTCCTTACTGAATCTAAAATAAAAGTTTCAGAAAAGTGAAAAATCAACCTAGAGAGTGGGAAGAACATATCTGAATATCATATATCTGATAAGGGACTTACATCTAGAATATATGAAGAACTCAGTAACAAAAAGACAACATAATTTTTTTAATGGGCAAAGGATCTGACTAGACATTTTTTCAATAAAGATATATAAATGGCTAATAAGCACATGAAAAGATGCTCAACATCACTAATCATTAGGGAAATGCAAATCAAAACTACAATGAGTTACCACCTCATACCCATTTAGGATAACTACTATCAAAGTAACAGAAAATGGCGGGATGCAGTGGCTCACGCCTGTAATCCCAGTACTGTAAGAGGCTGAGGTGGGAGGATGGCTTGAGCCTAGGAGTTTGAGACCAGCCTGGGTGACACAGCGAAAAGGAATTTTGGTAGAGATGTGTCTCTACCAAAAATAATTTTTAAAATTGGCCACATGTCGCAGTGTGCACCTGTGGTCCCAGCTCCTTGGGAGGCTGAGGTGGGAGAATCACTTGAGCCCAGGAGGTTGAGGCTGCAGTGAACCATGATCGCACCACTGCACTCCAGCCTGGGTGACAGAGCAAGACCCTGTCTCAAAAAAACAAAACAAAGCAGAAAATAACAAGCATTGGCCAGGCGCGGTGGCTCACACCTGTAATCCCAGCACTTTGGGAGGCCAAGGCAGGCGGATCACAAGGTCGGGAGATAAAGACCATCCTCGCTAACACCCCGTCTCTACCAAAGACGTGACACCCCGTCTCCACCAAAAATACAAAAAAAAATTAGCCAGGCCTGGTGGCAGGCGCCTGTAGTCCCAGCTACTCGGGAGGCTGAGGCAGGAGAATGGTGTGAACCCAGGAGGCAGAGCTTGCAGTGAGCCGAGATCGCACCACTGCACTCCAGCCTGGGCGACAGAGCAAAACTCCATCTCAAAAAAAAAAAAAGAAGAAGAAAATAACAAGCGTTGACATGGATGTGAAGAAATTAGAACCCTTGTGCACTGCGGGAATGTAAACTGGTTCAGCCACTATAGAAAACAGTATGGCAGTTCCTCAAAACAATTCAATAGAATTACCATATGCTCCAGCGATTCCACTTCTGAGTACACACCCAAAATATTGAAAGCAGGGTCTTGAAAAGATTCCAAACAACAACTCAAACAGATAAATGGATAAGCAAAATATGGCATATATGTACAATGAAATATTATTCAGCCTTAAAAAGGAAGAAAATTCTCACATGCTACAACGTGGATGAACTTTGAGGACATTCTGCTAAGTGAAATAAGCCAATTGAAAAAGACAAATACCACCAGGCACGGTGGCTCATGCCTGTAATCTCAGCACTTTGGGAGGCCGAGGCAGGCAGATCACAAGGTCGGGAGTTTGAGACCAGCCTGGCCAAAACATGGTGAAACCTTGTCTCTGCTAAAAATACAAAAAATTAGCTGGATGTGGTGGTGCGCACCTGTAACCCCAGCTACTTGGGACGCTGAGGCAGGAGAATTGCTTGAACCCAGGAGGCGGAGGTTGCAGTGAGCCAAGCTGGCGCCATTGCACTCCAGCCTGAGCTACAAAAGCGAAACTCTGTCTCAAGAAAAAAGAAAAGAAAAGAAAAAGACAAATATCGTATGATTCCACTTACATAAGTACTTAGAGTAGTCAAAGTCATGGAGACAGAATGGTGGCTGCCAGGGGCTGGAAAAGGGGGTAATGAGTTGTTGTTTGATGAGTATGGAGTTTCAGTTTTACAAAATGAAGAGTTCTGCTGGGTGTGGTGGTTCATGACTGTAATCCCAGCACTTTGAGAGACCAAGGTGGGCAGATCACTTGAGGCCAGGAGTTCGAGACCAGTCTGGCCAACATGGCAAAATCCCGTCTCTACTAAAAATACAAAAACTAGCCAGGTTTGGTGGCAGGGGACCTGTAATCCCAGCTACTCAGGAGGCTGAGGCACAAGAATCGCTTGAACCCAGGAGGCAGAGGCTGCAGTGAGCTGAGATTGTGCCACTGCCCTCTAGCCTGGGGGACACAGTGATACTCTGTCTCAAACAAAACAAAACAAAAAAACAAGATGAAAAGAGTTCTGGAGACTGGTTGCACAACAATGTGAATGTATTTAACACCTACTGAACTGTACATGTAAAAATGGTTAAGATGGTAAATTTTATGTTACACACACAAAAAAACAAGTAGAACTGGCAGCAGATTCTCAACAGAGACCCTTCTGGCATGTTGGGTGAGTCAGTTCTTGTTCATATAGAGCTATCCCTGTACATTGCAAAAATGTTTAGGATCCCTGTTTCCCTCTCAATAAACACAGTAATGCCCACTGGCTAGTGTCATAACACAAAGCAAAATAAAACAGTTCCACACACTTCCAAATGCCCACTTGATGACTAGGAGAGTGGGGGTGGATGGCAGCACCAGCCCCAAGCAAGTACCTATGGATGAGGAAGGCTATAGGTGGGGTGGAAACAGTCCAGGCAAAGGGGGGAAGCTGCTCCAGCCCCATATCTTCAATTCCAGAAATATCCCATGGCCTCTGCACACACACAGAATCTTCTTGTCTACCCAAAGGGGTACCACCTAGTTTATTTCCTTTCTCCCTTCCAGTCTCAGCTCAACCATCCCTTCTGAGGGAAGCCTTCCCTGACTCCTTCACCTCCTGATTAGGTCAATTCTCCGGTATTCTATGCTCAAAGAGCACAATGTATCTCACCTTCATAGCACATATATATATATATATATATTTTTTACATATATTTATGAATGTCAGTCATCCTTACTGGAATAAAAGTTCTATGAAAAACAAAATGGGTGAAGGATCTGAATAGACAGTTTTCCAAAGAAGATATACAAATGGCCAATAAGTACATGACAAGATGCTCAATATCATTAGTCATCAGGGAAAATCAAATCAAAACACAGTGAGATCCCACTTCACACCCACTAAATGGTATAATAAAAAAAGATATGACAAGTGCTGGTGAGTATGTAGAGCAACTGGAACCCTCATACACTGCTGGTGGGATTGCAAACTGGTGCAGCCACTTTGGAAAACAGTCTGGCAGTTTCTCAAAAGGTTAGATACAGAGTTACCATATGACCCAGCAGTTTCACTCCTAGGTATATAACCAAGATAAATGAAAACATATTTTCACACAAAAATCTGTACACAAATGTTCATAACAGCATTATTCATAAGAGTCCCAAAGTGGAAACAACCCAAATGTCCATCAACTGATGAATGGATAAATAAATGTGGTGTGTCCATTTAATGGAATATGATTTGGCCATAAAAGAAGGGAAGTGCCGATACACGCTACAGCTTGGACGAACCTTGAAGACATTATGCTATGTAAAAAAAGCTCATCACAAAAGGCACGTATAATATGATTCCAGAATTCAGAACTGGCAAATATAGAGACACTAACTAGGTTACTGGTTGCCTAGAACCGGGAGCTCTGGGAGAATTAGAGACCGATGGCTAAAGGGTATGAGGTTTCTTTTGGGGGAGATAAATGTTCTAATACTGATTGTGATGATGTTTGCACAACTCTGCAAATATGCTAAACCACTAAATAGTACCCTTTAAGTGGGTGAATTACATGTTAGGTGAATTATATGTTATGTGAATTATATATCAATAAAACTATTACCAAAAAAGTTTCTGTAATAAAAAGAGAAACATCACTACTCTAATTGTGGCCCTTACTGCTACTCAGAGGTAACATCCACATATCAATAAATATATACTGTTCTAAATAACAAAAATGGGCTCATAATGTCCAATCCTTTTTTTTTTTTGAGACGGAGTCTCGCTCTGTCACCCAGGCTGGAGTGCAGTGGCGTGATCTCAGCTCACTGCAAGATCCACCTCCCAGGTTCACACCATTCTCCTGCCTCAGCCTCCCGAGTAGCTGGGACTACGGGCGCCTGCCACCACGCCCGGCTAATTTTTTGTATTTTTAGTAGAGACGGGGTTTCACCGCATTAGCCAGGGTGGTCTCGATCTCCTGACCTTGTGATCCGCCTGTCTCAGCCTCCCAAAGTGCTGGGATTATAGACGTGAGCCACCGCACCTGGCTCATAATGTCCATTCTATACTGCAATTTGCAATATATATTTACTATACACAGTGGAGATACTTTCATGTTAGTATATATAGTCTCATCTATTCTTTTAAATGGCTACCCAGTACTCTAATAATAGTAATAAACAATAACAACAACAATACCAGTAGCTTGTATTTATACAGTGCATCTATGTGCCAGGCAATATTCTAAGTGTTTTACATATACTAATTCATTCAATCCTTACAATAACCCTATGTGGCAAGTTCTATATTCTGTCCATTTTACAGGGGAAGGAACTAAGACACATAGATATACCATAATTTATTTTGTCTACTAATGGACATTTAAATGTTTTTTTTAAACACTTGTGGCCAGGCATGGTGGTTCACGCCTGTAATCCCAGCACTTTGGGAGGCCGAGGCAGGTGGATCGTTTGAGGTCAGGAGTTCAAGACCAGCATGGCATTGAACCCCGTCTCTACTAAAAATACAAAAATTAGCCAGACATATTGATGCACGCCTATAATCCCAGCTACTCGGGAGGCTGAGGCATGAGAATCACTCGAACCCAGGAGGTAAAAGTTGCAGTGAGCCGAGATTGTGACATTGTACTCCAGCCAGGGTGACACAGTGAGACTGTCTCAAAAAAGAAAAAAAAAAAAAATGGCCGGGTACAGTGGCTCACACCTGTAATCCCAACACTTTGGGAGGCTGAGGCAGGCGGATCACCTGAGGTCAGGAGTTTGAGACCAGCCTGACCAACATGGGGAAACCCCATCTCTACTAAAAATACAAAATTAGCCAGGCCTGGTGGCACATGCCTGTAATCCCAGCTACTTGGGAGGCTGAGGCAGGAGAATCGCTTGAACCTGGGAGGTGGAGGTTGCGGTGTGCTGAGATCGCACCATTGCACTCATGCTTGGGCAACAGGAGTGAAACTCCATCTCAAAAAAAAAAAAAAAATTTACATTTATATTTATTTATTAATTATTTTTGAAATCACACCACTGCACTCCAGCCTGGGTGACTGAGTGAGACTCTGTCTCAAAAACTATTAAAAAATAAAAATAAACAAAATTGTACAGATGGTGCCAAAATGCCCTCCAAGGTGGCTGTAGCAGTTACATACCCCTCAAAGTGGAGGAGTGTGCTAATGTCCCCTCATCCCCACTACTCACAGCCTTCACCAGTGCCTCTCCCCTCCTCAGCCTCTGCCTGCACAGACCCTTGCAGCCCACAGGAACCTTCCACACTACAGTGCAGGCCCCCAGCACCCTCCCTGTGGTGCTGCCTGGGACTCGCTCAAGGCAGGTTGGATCCTGCCTCTCAGAATCCAACCCGGCATAGGTGTCTGGGCAGAGCCCCAGAAAGCAATGTAGTGTCCTCACCCCCAGGTTCCCCACAGTCACTTCAGCCCACAGGGGAGATGGGCATGGAGATGAGAGGGATGAAGGGTGCCTTGAGCAGGGAGAGCCCCAATAACCCTCCAAGAAGGTTGGAGGCTCCATCATCCCAGCGAGCCTCACTTACTCACCTCAGCCTCAGCCATACCAATCTGCCTCTCCAGATCCTCGGGGACCATTTTCCCTCTGAAAAAGAAAATGCAGAGGGTACAGCAGGGACAGGTTCTCTGTTGAAGGCAGGGTAAGATGGGGTTAGCAATGCAGAGATGACAGTGCTAGTTTTTCCCTCAGGGGTTGAAACAGAGCTCAGGGCAGAGGTGGGAGACGCTGGCAGGCTCTGGTAGACCGGAACAGCAATTCTACTGAACAGCGAGGGGAGAGAGGTCCACCAGCGGTAAAGGGCCTGATGCCAGAGCATTCTGGCAGCAGGAAGGTACTCTGTGCCAAGCTGGGTCACAGCCATGTGGGCAGAAAGACCTTCACCTCTCATCAGCCTTGACTACTCGGACACTGTCGGTGCCAAGTCCCAGAAACGCAGCTCCCTTCTGGATGGAGTAGTGACACTGCGGGGGAAGGCAGAGGGCAGGTTAGCACAACCTGATGGGGGAGGGGAGAGAAGGTAAAAGTCAAGTATGAGCTCCAACAGATGGGATCCTGTAGACCAGGGCTTCTCAAATGTTAGCGTGCATACGAATCGCCTGGATGTCTGGTTAAAATGCAAGTTCAGGTCCACTAGGTCTGAGGTCTGGGGTGAGGCCCGAGATTCTGCATTTCTTTTTTTTTTTTTTAGACAGTTTCCCTCTGTTGCCCAGGCTGGAGTGCAGTCATGCCATCTCAGCTCACTGCAACCTCCACCTCCCAGGCTCAAGAAATTCTCATGCCTCAGCCTCCTAAGCAGCTGGGAATCCAGGTGCCCACCACTATGCCTAGCTAATTTTTTGTATTTTAGTAGAGAAGGGGTTTCACCATGTTTCCCAGGGTGGTATCAAACTCCTGAGCTCAGGCAATCCGCCCACCTCAGCCTCTCAAGTGCTGGGATTATAGGCGTGAGTCACCGCGCCCAGTCAGATTCTGCATTTCTAACAAGCCCCAGGTCATACCAATGCTGCTGGTCCACAGACCACACTCTTGAGTAGGAAGAGTATGGACTGTGTCCACTGTACTCACGGCCCCTCCTCTGCCCCCAAACAGAAGGCAATGTGAACAGGAGCAGTTACTGGCCTCCTTGACTGGAAGGAAGCACATCCGCCTGGGGGCAGGCTGGCCTTGGAGGATGTGGGGAGGGCAGGGAGAAGACCTGGAAGGTCTCTACTTAGCTGGCTGGAGATTAGAATCAGGAGCCCAGGGTTGGGCCTGTGCCTCTTCCCCACCTCCTTCGATGTGAATAGTGCCAGGGGCGGCAGTGTGCGGAGGCCCCTCTGCTTGCAATCCGGGTAGCGCTGATAGCGGGCCAGATTTACAGCATACATGTTGGAGATGGAGCCACCTGTCACAGGGAGGGGGCGGTGGCAAGAGGAAGGAGCACTGGGTCAAGACTGGAGCTTGCCTCCCCTTCCCTTTCCACCAGAAGAGCTCATCAAAGCAGCAGGTATGACTGGCTCCGAGGCCACAATTCCCAGGATCATGCCATCTCAGAATGGATCCAGGATCAGATTCTCTTGACCACACCCCTCCATAGCCGGGGCTGCCCCCAAGAGACAGCACCCATCCAGAGACAGCAGGAACTAGACCAGTGATCCCAGGGAATGGTGACAAACATGAGCATGAAGGGACGAGACAGCCTCCTCCCTGGTTTGGCCTGGGTCCAGCTGGAGAGGAATCAAAGAGGAATCATCCCTCCCTGCCAGATGCTTAGAGCAAGAGAACGGTGCAGAAGCAGGAACCCATAAAAAGGGCAAAGAAAGGTCCCCCTCATTCTCACAAACCAGGGCAGAAGATTCCATCCCCAGAGCTCCAGCCCACCAGGGCCCGCAGTTTCCTCAGCACCTCCTCTTCCATGAGCACAAACACGGGGGCGATTTCATATGTGTACCTGACAGGAGAGAGAACGATGAGAAAGGAAAGATGGGGAGGGACTGCCCAGACAGGCCCTTAAACTGCACAGGAGTCAGAAAAAGGAGGCAATGAACAGTGAGCGAAGGAAGAGTCCAAGGAGAAGAACAAGTTGGTGACAGAACCAGGGAAGCAAGAAAGAGAAAACAGAGGTCAGGAGGCCTGAGAAAGTTTGGAGAAAGGGGGTCCAAAGGATACAAGGAAAAACTCTCTGCCGATAGGGATTCCTAGAAGCAGTAGAGAGAGGGCAGAACCATTCTCCTCCCCTACCCCTCAGGCACCTCTCCAGCAAACCTAAATCCTTTGTGGGATGGTAGAGGGGCCGTGGGATGCTCACTGGCTGGTGTTGAGGCTCTCAGTGATAATGCGCCCGGCCAGAGCATGGGGATCCAACCCTGAGAAGAGCTGGTTGAAGAACCGAGGGTGACCTGGAGAAGGAGAGTACGCCAGGGAGCTCAGAGTAGAGTTCAGGGCAAACTCCCAAGTCTCCTTCCCAAAGAAGCCAGGGCCCACCAGTCTTGACACTGTAGCGAATCACAGCCCGACACCGCTCCAGGATCTGCTCCTGCGACTCGCCCTGGCTCCGCAGCTCCAAATCCAGCAGCTGCTTCAGCTCCTCAGGCTCCTTCCACTCACAGACCTAGGAAGAGAGCCAGGGCTGCTGGGGGCCTAGGATGCCTGTGGACTGACTGTCAAAACACACCTCCACAGACACGAGACAAGGCCAATCTGCACTAAAAACAACTTTGGGATATTTCCAAAGTAAAACTCTGAAAATGAGCAAGAGTAGTGAACACAGTAAGACTCAGAATGTAAATCCCTGAGGTACCCGGAGGGACAGGGATGAATTCTGGGGAGAAACCTTATCAAAAAGAGGAAAGTTCTGAGCCAGATTTGGAAAGAAAAAGAGAAGGCTTGGGCCGGGCGTGGTGGCTTATGCCTGTAACCTCAGCACTTTGGGAGGCCTAGGCAGGCAGATTACCTGAGGTCAGGAGTTCAAGACCAGCCTGGCTAACATGGTGAAACCCCATCTCTACTAAAAATACAAAAATTAGCCGGGTGTGGTGGCACATGCCTGTAATCCCAGCTACTCGGGAGGCTGAGGCAGGAGAACTGCTTGAGCCCAGGAGACGGAGGTTGCAGTGACCCGAGATCGTGCCACTGCACTCCAGCCTGCCCGACAGAGTGAGACTCTGTCAAAAAAAAAAAAAAAAAAAAAAAAAAAAAAAAAAAAAAAAAAAAGACGAAGGAAAGAAGGAAGGAAGGAAGGAAGGAAGGAAGGAAGGAAGGAAGGAAGGAAGGAGGCTGGCTTGATGGGAAGGAGGAGGAGGAAAGGACTCACCTTCTGGGAGGCACTGGTTCCTTTCTGAATGGCCTCATCCACAACAACCCCAAACACGGCCCGGAGCAAGGCTTCCACAGCCACTGGGTCCCCAGCAAGGGAGGGGAGTGCTTCTGAGTCAGCCATTAGGATCTGTGGCAGAGCAGAGTCATTCCCTACTCAGCCTGTGAACCCTACCTGGACCTACCCAGCAGGAGTCTCATCTTCCAAACGGGCCTGAGGCCCAAGTCCTGCAGCTCAGTCTCAGCATCCAGTGCACAGACAAGGGCAAGTGAGAGTGCCCAGGGAGAAAGCCAGTGGGAACAGGTGGGAAAGAAAAGGCAGACAGTGCTGAGCAGGTGGACTCTAGTGGCCATTTCCACCTAAGGCAGAGACAAGCTTACCTCTCTGCTCAGGAGAGCCAGAGGCAGGGTGCAAAGGTAGCTCCTCAGAACAGTGGGACCAAGACAGCAGAGGGAGTGGGGTGAAAACAGCAGTCACATGGCCATAATTCTCATGACCTTTGCCCTAAAGAGAACTTTGACAGATTTGGGATAGAGACAGCAGGGTGAGGTGAAGCTCCCTGAATAATCATTAGCTGACAGAAGGAGATGGGAAATCAGATGAAAGGCAAAACCCATGCTGCATTAACCCCACGGTGGCGAGAACCAGAGGGCCAGTGCAAAAGAGGGGACCCGCAATGTGCATCCCAGGGCCCAGCATGGGGGTGTCTTGAGGGCAGACAAGGGCCTGAGAAACTGCCACAGGTGACCCTGGAGACTGAGGTGGAGGGCGCCTGAGAGGCAGGGACGTAAAATCCCCCCACCTTTTTATTTTTTGAGATGGAGTGTCACTCTGTTACCCAGGCTGGAGTGCAGTGGCACAGTCCTGGCTCACTGCAACCTCTGCCTCCTAGGTTCAAGAGATTCTCCTGCCTCAGCCTCCCAAGTACCTGGGACTACAGGCGTGCACTACCACACCCGACTAATTTTAGTACTTTTAGTAGAGACAGGGTTTAGCCATGTTGGTCAGGCTGGTCTCGAACTCCTGACCTCAGGTGATCCACCCACCTCAGCCTCCCAAAGTGCTGGGATTACAGGCATCAGCCACCATGCAGGCTGACATAAAATCCTTTAAGCAGGCCTCAGAGGCCAACCTCTTTTGCATCCCAACCCCCAGAGTCTTTTCAGAACTGCCCTGCTTTCTAAAGCCCTCTCCTAGAGCAGGAAGGAAAGGGGTTATATTGAGGAAGCATTTGCTAAACAAGTGCGATCCTGTGCCTTCCGGGCTGGGAATCCTGTTTGTAGTGAGCACCAACTGTGTTCACCACATGGTGCTGAGGACTGAGAACGCCTCCTCACCCCACTGGGAGGACACAGACACATGTGCAACAGTTACAGACCAGGCCATGGCTGGATGCCGACCCTAGGTCTCCTCGGAATTCAGGAAAGAAGGAGATGGATGGAGGCTGAAGGCTGAGAAAGACCTGCAGTGGGACTGCAGATGAATCCTAAGAGAGGGCAGGAGAAATGGGGTGGGTGACTGGAAGGAAGAGAAGCATTCAGGGGTAAGAGGAGGAAAGCCATGAGCTTACAGCGGAAATGAATAGGACTTGTCCTGAGGTCAGTGGCAACACAGGGCTGGCGGGAGCATGGGAGTGAAGGCAGGGTGGGGAGAGTTTTGTGAGCACATGAGGAGTCATGAGTGCCAGGCAGGCCAAGGAATCGACATTTTATCCTACAGAAAATGGGAAGTCACTTAAAGATTGTGTGACAAGGAATAATGTAGTACAATGGATGCTCTCAGAAGACCAATTTATAGCAGTAGGACGCAGAAGAATTAACAGGCTCCTGCAGTAAATAAGGCAAGAGGCGATCCACACTTGAATAAGAGTGATGATGGTAGGAAATGACAGAGAGAACAATCTGTAGGCGTGCTCATTCTCTGGATTGTGCTGAATTCAACACTTAGGGGAGCTACGTTGTAGGAGAAGGAAGACTCAAAGATGATCCTGGGATTTCAAGCCTGGGAGACTGGAAAAATAATGGCACCTCTCAAAGAAACAGGGATGCAGAAAGGGAAACTGGATAGAAATAAAGTGGTATTGCTTGGAAATACTCATCTGAGTGGAGGTCTTCTGGGACTACAGATGGCAAACTGTTTTCCATACATCCTATGGGAGGGGGTCAGGCCCACAGCTCTGATGAGATGCTAGAATGGAAAGCAGGTTTGAGAGTCAGGGTATAGCTGAAGCCTTGTGATGGGCTCCATTCCCTAAAGGAGAGAGAATTCAGAGAGATGGATGGGAGGAGGGAGCAAACACCAAGGCCTGGGGGACCCTCCAAATGACAGGGCAAGAAGATCAAGAAAATCTGGAAAGGGAGCAACCATCCTCAAAATGGGATGGTCTAATATAATCCACTGCCAACAGTCACTAGACCTCACACATGATGTGTGGTGCACACATCATGCATCACGTAACGACGTTTCAGTCAACGAGGCTGCAGTGAGCTGAGATCGCACCACTGCACTCCAGCCTGGGTGACAGAGTGAGACTCTGTCTCAAAAATAAATAAATAGTAAAAAATAAAGTGGACAATTACGTGGTTTTTCATATATTCACAAAGTTGTTGCAACCATCATCACTGTCTAATGCCAGAACATTTTCATCACCCAAAAAAAACCCTCAGTAGCAGTCATTTCCCATTCTTCCCTTCCCCGACCCCTGGCAACTACTAATCTACTTTGTTTCTATAGATTTGTCTAGTCTGGCCATTTCATATAAAAGGGGTCATATAATATGTGGTCTTTTGTGACTGGCTTCTTGTGCTTAGCATAATGCCTTTAAGGTTCATCCAAGTTACAGCACGTACCAGTATTTCTTTGTATGGCCAAATAATATCTCATTATATGGATACACCACATTTTATCTATTCATTTATCAGTTGATACACATTTGAGTTGTTTCCACTTTTTGGCTATTATGAATAATGCTGCTGTGAACATCTGTGTACAAGTTTTTGTGTGAACATATGTTTTCAATTCTGTTGAGTGTATACCTAGTAGTGCTGGAATTGCTGTGTCACAGGGTAACTCTATATATAACCCTTTGAGGAACTGCCAAACTGTTTTCCAAGGTGACTGGACCATTTTACACTCCCATCAGCAGTGTATAAGGGTTCCAGTTTCTCCACAACCTTGCCAACACTTATTATTGTCTTTGTTATCACAGACATCTGCATTTTTAATTTTTATAGGGATTGCCTACATCCATAAAGGTTGTACCAATGTATGAAAGTCCCTGCATCTTCAGCCTCAGCAGCAGAGTATGCTATCAAACTTTTGAAAATGGAGACTAAAAAATGGTACCTCAGGGTTTTAATTTAGTTGAATGCCTGCATTAGTCAGTTTTGCCATATCAACAAATGCCTTCAGAATCCCACAGAGGTTTATTTCTCTTTCATGGTTTACATTGGTAGTGGTGTTGGCTACAGTTCTGATTCATGTGCCTTTATTACAAGACCCAGTCTGAAGTAACTGCCCTCATTTGGGACACATTGTTTTAACGGCAGGGCAAAAGAACAAAAGGCAGAGAAAACCACACACTTACTCTTAAAGCTGCTGCTCAGACCTGGCATATGGCATATCTGCTCATACTCACTTGACCAAGACCACACAGCCAAGTACTAGGGCAGTGGGGTGAGGACGTATATTGCTCCCACAGAGGGCACTGCAAAGGGCATGGCAATGGGGGAAAATATAAACTTCTCTTACAAGATCATTGGGCACGAGCCCATAGTAGGATTTTTCGTTGTTGTTGAGACAGAGTCTCACTCTGTCACCTAGGCTGGAGTGCAATGGCACGATCTTGGCTCATTGCAACCTCCAACTCCTGGGTTCAAGCAATTCTTCTGCCTCAGCCTCCTGAGTAGATGGAATTACAGGCGCAAGCCACCACACCCAGCTAATTTTTGTAGTTGTAGTAGAGATGGGGTTTCACCATGTTGGCCAGGCTGGTCTTGAACTCCTGAGCTCAAGCGATCTGCCCACCTCGGCCTCCCAAAGGGCTGGGATTACAGGTGTGAGTCACGGTGCCCAGCCCCATAGTAGGGTTTTGCATTGTCTCACCTCAGCCTGCACCGCCCTCCTCCCTCATTTACAGATTTCTGAGTATGAACCACTGACACAAAAGCTTCCTCTCCTTCTCCCTCACGGATGCCCTCTTGATTATCCCTTCTCATTTTTTCAAATCTGCATCCTACCTCTTTCTCACAGCATTTTACATTGTTCAAACCTCACAACATACCCGCCTCCAGCCACCTCTTCACGGCCAATCTTCTTCAAAGGGTTATCTCCAAGTAGCTTCCACCTTCAAGGTCACCAAGAATTTCCCTGCCTCCAAACCCAATGGACACATCTCATCTTTATCCTGTTTGACACCTCTGGAGCCATCCAACATAGTTTGCCACTACATCTTGAAACATATTCTTTTTTTTTTTTTTTTTTTTTTTTTGTTCCACCTTCAAGGCCTGCACTCCCTGCCTCCAAACCCAATGGACACAACATCCTCACCCTTTATCCTGTTTGACACCCTGGAGTTTATCTAATATATGATACATTATATTTTTTAAAGAGAGCGTTTTTTTTTTTTTTTTTTTTTTGAGACGGAGTCTGGCTCAGTCGCCCAGGCTGGAGTGCAGTGGCGCGATCTCGGCTCACTGCAAGCTCCGCCTCCCGGGTTCACGCCATTCTCCTGCCTCAGCCTCCCGGGTAGCCGGGACTACAGGCGCCCGCCACCTCGCCCGGCTAATTTTTTGCATTTTTAGTAGAGACGGGGTTTCACCGTGTTAGCCAGGATGGTCTCGATCTCCTGACCTCGTGATCCGCCCGCCTCGGCCTCCCAAAGTGCTGGGATTACAGGCGTGAGCCACCGCGCCCGGCCGAAACATATTCTTTAACTGGCTTCCATATTACTACCCTAGTTTGTCCCCTCTCTCTGGCCATTCCTAGCTTCCCATGAATTTTCACCTTCCTCTGGCCCTCCTTTAAATGCCGGAGTTCCTCAGGGTTCTGTCCCAGGGCCTCTTTCCTCTGCATCTGTACCTACTCCTGGGCAAGCTCATCCATGCCCAGGGCTATCTGCTGGTGACCCC